CCTGCCTTTGCAGTGCCATCAGTCTACTTGTTTCCACAAATAAACACGTGTCCACACAAGGAAAATGTGGACATTTAACCTCACTTCATTGTACATGATGGGAATAGCAATCATCAGGAGGATCTGTGGTGTTTGAACAAGATCAACAGACCACGATTTTTCACAGCCAATATAACTGAGGAAGGCTACATCACACTTCATTAGTAATTTTGGTTTTGAAAGCCTTTCAGAACCTGTATCTCTTTCTGCTAGCTGATTTCATGTTAAGTTTTCAAATTCCACTCTGAAATGCCTAGTAGTGTAGCCTGCTCTTGGGTCACAATGATATTTGAAGACCTGTGTTTTCTTTATGTTGTGCTAGCTTTTCAGATTCTCCCAGCTGCCAAATTGTGATGGTATTTATCATATGATAATCATGAACTGTAGGTAGGAATATAATTTCATCATTTTTACTGGTTAACCAAGAAACACATAGGAATATTTTTTTGTTTTGTTTTTTTCAAAAGCTTTCAATTGTTGCTTTTCTGTTGGTAAATAAATTACCCAAATGTGAAGATGCTGTAGTTCTGACATACAATAACCAATTCCTGGTTTGGAAGCTATGCTGCTGTCTGAAAATGTTTTCTTTTCATTTGTTAGCAGACATCTCCAAGGTCATCACTATCAAAATGAGATTTTTCCATATGTTTCTATTTTTGTCTTGTTTGTTGACTGCAGTTGACTTAAAGTTAATTCTCTCTGTCTAGATGTAGTATATTAATTTATGAATGTCAAAAAGTTGACTTATCCCTGATGTTCAGTTGACAGAGGACAGCCCCTCTTAGATGGTGGAGTGTTGGGTGGATATGAATGAAAGTGGCAGGACAGATGAAGACCTTTAATTATGTTTAGATAAGCCACTAATCCAACTAATTTTGTAACTGGTTACAGGTCTAAGAATGGTAAGCAGAAATAACTAGCATTTTTCCAACTCAGCACATCTTACTTCATCTCACTGATGTCCCAAATCAGCTGAGATGGACCACATGAACTTCAGCAAGAAGTGTGAAGTCCTGAACCTGTGACAGAACAATTGCATGCACCAGAATGTGCTGAAGCCACCCATCTGGAAAGCAGCTGACAGAAGCCACTGGGAGTCGTCATCTTTGTGAGGTTAGCTACAGTAAGCTGTATCAGTAATGACAGTTTCACTTCAATTGGCTGCTAGGAAAACCTTTTATTTAATAAAAAATCAGCTGGGAGTCTTTAATCTCAAAGTTAAATTTTTGGCTCTGAATATGGCTGTCTGACACATACCTGAGATACCATTGACACAATGTTATTGGTTTCTTTTTTGAACAGCAAATTATTACTGTGACAGTCACTGGTTCTGCTCATATTATTGACAAATTGAAGCTGGGAGGCTTAGTGTTTTTCATGGGATTCTGTTACTTTTCTATGAAGCATTTGAGCTGAAAACTTGCTCCATCCTTTCTCAAAATAGCCAAGCTTGAGAAGCTGTGAAATAGAAAACAAGGGGCCAACCATGTTGCACATAGAGCACTTTAACTGCTGAACCCTGCAGGCCCAGCCCTGCTTGGTGGGTGAGAAGCTATTGCCTATGAAAAGGCTTGTGAGTTATTCACTTGTGTTATCCCATGCGCGGTCCCTCATTACCAAAACATGATTTGCGTCTTTTGTTGTTCATCCAGACTGAGGAAGACCACACCTAGCTGCCTGAATTGCAATGCTGACTACATACATATAAACATTTATTTGCCTGAGAGAACGTAAGCTGGAGTATGGGCTTTGGGGTTTTAATTTTTCAAAGGCGTAAATTAGTGATAGCTACGATTATTGTTAAAGTCTTACTATAATATAGACATTAAGCCACTAATATTTGATACTACTTTTTTCTCCACAGTTTGGAACTACTCTGTTTGTTTATGTTGATAAAATTCACCAGGCTGTTCAAAAGAACAGTAAAAATGGACAGAAGACTTGGAGGAAAAAAAAAAAAAATTGGCTTATATTGATGTCTTTTTTTTTTTAAAAAAAAAAAAAGGTGTTGATTAAAAGAACTGGTTCCCAAAGCCCAAGCTCATTAGCCAATGCAAATTTTTAGTGTCATTTTTAAAGAGCTTTCTCCACACTGTGGTCTATCCTGCCTTCTCTTGTGCTCATTACTTGCCTTTCGCTTTGCAAGCTGTAACATCATAATCAGTTAAGATTTTGTAGTCAGTGCCATGGTGGAGAATGCAAAGAGAATTTGCTTTGAAATAAGTTCTTTCACTTTTCTTCTCAGTTGAGAAGAGTTCTAGGCTAATATTGGCATTTTGCACCTAAGCAAAATCTAGTAGAAGTTGGTATATTTTGAACAGTAATTTAAATAGATACTTACTAATGTGAAACATTAATTCTAAGTTCCAGAGGAAGGATAATTATTTTAAAACTGTCTTTAGAAATGGTCCAAAGGATTTAATAAGCAATCTGAGATTGCTAATACCACCTGTTAAGCAGAAGCAGCAAGTAAGATTTAAGAGATCTCAGCGCTTAGAAAAGTCTGTCTATAGGAGAAAGATGTGCTCTCAGTCATTCAGTTTTAAGCGTTTCAGTGGTAGAAGCAGTCAACAGATATCCCTGTTCCCCCTGTATAGACAGTCTGAAGAGAGACATGATTTGCTGCCTGCAGTTCTGCTGTATGTAATAGAATTACTCTACGAACATTGATTTCTCACCTGACATTACCTATCTGAAAAAACTAGTAGGCAATTCCCTCTGTAGTTAATGGGAAACGGATGTAGCGGGCTTCTGACCAAGATCTAGGAGAGATTACCTGGAATGTTATATTTTTCCAAACAAGTCAGAAAGCTTCTACCAAGATTGGCATAATGGTGCTGCTTTGGGACAGGTGAACTATAAAACAATGTCTGAGGTCCCTTCCTACTCTATAATACAACAGTCATTAGGCTTGATGCGTGGATCATGCTACATGGAATAATACTGAGAACTACTAGTTCACATTGACTGTTTGGCATATCTTCCTATTTAGCTTCATGCTTAAAGGTGACCTCTAAGCCTGTAGATTTGGAACTTATTTTTTCTATCACAGCAGCCAAGAACTGTCCATGGATATTGAGACTTGGCTCTCAGTAGTTTATCTACTTCCCACAGAACCAAATGGGTAAAAGTCTCTTTTCCAATGTGTCTGTATGTCCACTTTAAGAAATACTTGTGTTTAATCAGAGAGACTTAAGATCACTTTTGTGCTGAGCAGGAGGTTCACCAGAAGGCTTTATTAGCAACATTTTGTTATATTCTCATTCCAATAGACAGAAGATCTTCCTTGTAGTGTCATACTGGCACTTCTAGACAAAGTGCCAGTAACAGTGACAATAATGATGAAGACTGTATATTGAGATTGGTGAAATCAGAATCTATCATTTAACTAAGACATGAGTCTTCATCTGAAATCTTTACTATGCTTCCTTATTCTGCTCTACTATTTATAAATGTGTGTACTCAAAAACAAAAATGTTCCTGAAAACAGAAACACATGCATAACCTAGCTACAACACATAATACCAAAAGGCTGGTGCAGTTTGTAGTTTCAACAGTTGTCTGGTTAAGGAAAGTTTAAAGCACTAGTGCTTAACCTAATAAGGTGCATTTTTGCTAAGCTGATAAATGCAAGACTCTCACAGGAGGAATCTTCACTGACTCCTATTTGTTATGTTAGACAGCTGGAGATTAAAAACAAAACAAAAAATCTGGGGATATCTGTACTTCATTCAATTATCAATTGTACAGCCCTGCCATTTTGCTGTCCCTCTACAAAAAGATCTATAAAATTAAGCTAAACTGATAGGAAGGAAGTACAGAAGAGTAGAGAGAGGCAGAATGTGAAAATTATTGAGCTGGAATGGAATGAAATACAAGAACATACATTGCTTCAGGTTCAGGCAAAAATGTTGGTAAGTCAAACCAACTACCTTTGTTTTGCATATGTACTTCTACACCACATAATGAAAATGAAAGATCATAGGTTTGAAAGAGTCTTTGAGATGTAAGACTATAGTGGAAAAGAGGTCTAGTACTTTGAATGTGTAAATATGCAAAGGTTAATCTCTGGGCTTGGGGCTCTTAGGAAGAAATATGTACAGTCCAAATAACAAGGAAGAGGCAGAATGGAGCACCCTGAAGGGTTAAAGTGAACTTTAGTCTTTCACTGATCACCCTCTGGTACTGTGTCTTAATAAATTTCCTCTGTTTATGGAGTGTTTTTGATGGCTGGCAATTCTTTGTTGAAAGTTAAGTGCTCTTTTATATGAATAAATAAAGAAGACTTTGGTTTGAATGAATACATTATTTTGACAAATGTTTATTGGAACCCCAATTATGGCTTCATAAATCAGTGCTATCTGTGGTACATCAGGTGAGCTCACCAATGCCATCAAATGCCACATTGAATATTAGTAGGATAATTAAAACAATTCTGTTGAATGTTGTCCCTCTTACTCAGGCCTGACAGTAGTCAAAACAGGAAGAAACTGTTTATTATTTTTATTTAACTTATTAAAATACTTCTTGTAAGATGTAATGGACCTAAAAATTTTTATTTAAAAAAGAAAGAAAAAACATTTGTTTTCAATTTGCAGTTAGATTAAAATGACAAGGTCAGGCACAATGCATAAACTGTGTGGCAGCTGAATTTTAAGAGTAGTCAGGGAACAGAAAGGACGTGTATAATATCTATTGTTTGAACTTTACACCTTGGTGAAGTGGGGGTTTATTTGTTTTGACTGAATGGCCTCTGATGGTATGAAATGTGTCTATAACCAATCCATATGTTTTCTTGCCTTTCCCTCTCCCTGCTACAATGAATTAGGATAACCAAAAGTATTCAAAAGTCATTGAATTCATTGATTAAGAGAAAGTATTGAATGCAAGATCAAGAAGGAAGGGAGGGTATTCAAACTGTGGGGAAAAAAAGAAAGTCTACCAGGGACATGCTGACAGGAATTCACTTTTCTTCAAGGTCATCTGACTGATAATAGCAAAATGGAGATTTTTCAATATCTGTGGTAGGGTACCAAAGATCTGTTTAAGCTTTATGAAGAGAACCTTTATGGCTTCCCAAAGGATCTGTTCCAAAGTTTAGAATAAGAATGAACTTAGATCCCCAAGAACACGCAAGCGTAAAATGATGAATGAAAGTTAAGTATAAGGTGTATGTGCTAGTGTGATATAAATTATGATAGAGATCCATTTGTTGCCAAGTTAACTTCCATATAGCATTCCTCTTCTGCTCAGAAGAGGGAATGATGAAACATAAAGAGAATGCAAAAGGGGAGCAATAGAAGCCAGCATGCCGTACACTTCTTTCATTAAAAAAAAAAAAAGTTTTAAGAGTCAGACAGAGATATGACAATGAAATACTTTCAGTTGGAATTTGTCAATTTGCTGATAGGGAGGGAAAAAAAAAAGTCACTAGGACAAATTTGTTTTGTTTCAATGTAAACTAACCCCTCCTTCAGCACAACTCAGGCTCCACATTTCTAGCATCTGGCAAGCAGGCAGACAACCTGGAGGCCCCAGGGCTGAAAGTCTGATGCTCAGTTTCTCAGAAGCTCATGTTTCCCCAGAGATCTGCTTCCCAGATAATGTGCAAGATTTGAGGTCTTCTTCCAAGTAGTAGTTAGAAAAAAAATGCAAGATGATGTTCTTACTTTCGTACCCACCTTCCTGTAGTCCTTTCTCATGATTTCAGATGAGCGAACGATAAAAGCGTAGACAGGAATAAAGGGATTTTAGTCTTCATTATTTAGGATCCTATTTATTTATTTACCTATTGGAGAAAAGAGTGGCATGTTCATACTAAAACCATATATTTTGGTGTCAAAGCACCAGTGCTAGTAATGGCGCCATAGAGAATGGAGACAGAACTTGGGACAGACATGGTATAGACAGAAGGATGGAGCCTTTCTCTTCCTTTTGTAGCACTTACATGGCAAATAAATCTCCAGAGTAGAAAGAAGTGTTGGTTTATATATTTATTTAAGGAAAACTATTGCTCAAGTCATGTGGATTGTGTTTTCTTTTTAAGTTGGAGATGAGGGATTTTCAGATGTAATTTCTTTTTAAAACACTGCTTTTTCATATGCATCCTCAGAAAGACAAATGATGCAGTCCATGCTGTGCACTTAGAAATTAATTCCTACAAATGGGAATACGGAGATGTAAATGGTTGGTGTTGTTAAGACAACTGTGAAAGCAATTATTTGACAACGCAACAGGAAAGGAACATTTAGAAACTTCACTGAGCTCTGCTTAGGCTGGAAGAGTGATAGTCACAGAGCAGTCTGGATAAAAGGCACAGAAAACAACTCTTCAGCACCCTAAGTATCAACCAAAGCATCAGCCCTCCCTCCAGAGTTCAAGAGATGCTTGCTGTCAATCAATAATACTAAAAGATTTTGTTCCTGGCAAAGTTTATCAGCTGTGCTTATCTCTAGTCTCCTTTCTTAAGCACTGTTTCCTCCCTTTGCCTATGGCTATGCTAATTGGAAATGTGAATTATCAGAGAAGAGAAGCCCATTTTTCATAACTCAGATGAAAAAGCCAGCAGCTCTGAGAGACTTCACCTTAGGTGTTATTTCTGAAAAAGCTGAGGCTGGTGACAAAGACTAAAGAAGTTGTACCACTGCATACCTTGCATAGCTTCCTCCTTCAGTGGAAATCAGCATTTTAGTATTCTATCCTGGAGCTCAGAGAATAGGAAAGCTTCAAGGAAGATAGTTCTTCCTTTATTTCTGAGACTTATTGCTGTCAATAAATCACTCAAGCTGCTATTATAGTCCAGAACAACAAACTGGCATCACTCCTAAATAAAGGGTGTGTGAAAGATTAGCAGAACAAAAGCAATAAAGGAGTCATTAAAACACCTAGAAGATAAAATGCTTTAAAATAACTCCTCATGTTTTCTTGAAGCATGACAGTGATTGGGTCATAAATCAAAGCTATTCTTCTTCATGGGATGTTTAAGGAGAAGGCAGTGAGGTTTGTATCTGTGCTCATCTATATAAAAACTGCAACTCTTACAGTAATGGGAAGAAACAGCCCACTCACAGATCATCACCCCTCAATATTTCAAATACACTTCTCTTTCCTTCCACCAAGAAAATTAAGCCTTGCTTTTAATAGAATTAACATACATAAACAGAATACGTTGGTAATGCTAATTTTCATTTTACTTGCTTTTAGCTTTTCCTGTTTTATTTGCACTGCTAAAAACTAAAACAGTGAATTGGGTCGGATGGATAAATAGATTCCTTTAAAAAGTAACACTGACTAGCACATAGAAAAATATTCATGTTATAAAGGCACTTTATATAACATGATGGAAAAGTTATTCAATAACTCTAGTGTTGCTTAGTAAAAATGCATAAGAAACAAAGACAGAGAAGCGCACACTGCAGCGTTTGCTTTGCAGTCTACACCAAAACCTATACTGCTCATTGCATTATGAAATTTTGAAATCTATCAACTTCCATGTTGTCTCCTCCCCTTCTATCAACTTCATCAAAAAATGTCTGTTGCTTGCAGTAAGTAACGGGGTGAAAATATTTGTAATAAACAACAAGAAAAATAATACCTAACACCAGACTGAGAATAGTTAAGATGCTCACAACTGTAAGATGTACTTCCTCAATAACAGCAGGTTTCCAAAACAAACATACAAGCAAAATACCTACAGTTACAAGGGTGTGAGTAGCATAATAAATAGAAATGCAAGCTTTTGTTTTTCTCCCCTTTATGTTAAAAAAAGTAAAAAGTAGAATGATTCCAACAACAGTTCTGTACAGATATTCCATCTCTGTGGATTTGCAAAATGTTGTGTGCTGTTTCAAAGTCCAGGCAAAGCCGCAGCTCCAAAGAAGTATCAGCAGAATTACAGAACTTCTAACACTTAGTAGAGTGATCAGTGAAATACTGAGTATCCAAGAAGTGATGGTGAACAGTTTATAGAAGAGATACACAAACTTGGGAAGCACTTGCAGTTCCTCTTTATCAGGCAGAGATTTTCGTAGTGATATCTGATAATCGACCATTGAAAAGGAAATACCACAAAATGAAATAATAATGGCAGTATCTAAACAAAACACAAAAACAAATGTTAGACTTGACTTAAGAGAAGAATTTCTTTTATGTTAGAACTTCTGGATGTTTGGACTATTTTATGCTTTCTTTGTGCTATCTTGCTACCAACTTCAAATATCCTCTGTGCTCCTGAACAAGACACGTTCATTTGAAGGCTCAGTTTAGTTGCCTAAATCTGGACATCTATTGTTATTTGGGATCTCTTGCTGTTGCTAATCTCATAAATGTTGTTCATTGTGTTTGTCATTTGCACACACAGATGACTTAGGAACTCTTAAGGTGTTGCAAATACCTTATACCCATACATAGTTGAGTTTGGGCAACTGATATTGACAAAGATGCTTGTTACATCAGCATCTATAGCTGAGACTTGACCCTTTTTGTGGTCATATTTAAGATGAAATTCGTCTGAACATTTTATCTCAGTACCTGTGAACTCATGGACTATCTAAGAACCCTACCTAACAGTGCAGATCTCTTCAGACTGAAATTATAATGAAATGCAAAGCAATAACACAGTGAAGTATACATTTACCAAACTATTTTTAAAATATTATCCAGTAACGTGAGTTATTGTATGGGAACTGCTGAATCACGGCCTGAACCTCTGATTGATCACCTGAGGTGAGCAATGAGTCAGCCATGGGAGCACAGGTGAAGGCAATTCACCTGTGCTGTTGGAAGGGGTGGAGCCTGGCTCCACTTCTCCTAGACCCATTTAAGAGCTGATTTAAATGGGGAAGGATCTCTTCTAGAGATCCCCTCCTCTGGAGTTTTGTAGTGAGCCCAGGATATGGGTAAGCTTTCTATCTATTCTGTATTGGTATAATAACTGCGTAGCCAAACTCTGTGGTTTATTTCATGACTGTAACATCTGTATATTTGTTGATTATACAGTTATACTTTTAGGTAAGATTCTCAACTTCCAAATCACAGTAAAAGAAATACTCACATTGATAGAAATCATGGTTGTTGTGTTCCATAAGTACGTAAATCTGAATGAAGAGTTGTGGTGTGGTCTCAAGAAAAGTCTTGAATACCCTGAGCATGTTAATATCAGTCAGTACATCAATAGCTTGTTTCTGAATGATATTGGGAGGGTCTGTTTCTGATACATCTCCACTGCTGTCTTGTCTAAAAGCAGCTTGGCAGCCATACTTCAAGGCAAACCAATATCTATTTAAAAAGAAAAAAAATAAAAGAGAGAGAGACTTGGTTAGACCATGTTTTTTGAAAGTACAATTCTATAAACTTATGTTGGCTGACAAATTCTTTTCCATTTCATTCTCTACTCATATTTTATCTTTGAATGTACCTTCTGGTAAGATAAAATTTAGACCAGTATCTGACTGGTGTCAGTGATATCAGATATTCGTTTATACCCACTGATACTGATGCAACGTAAAACTAATAGAAGAGAATGAGGCTTGCTTGAATAAACATTACAAGTATTACTTTGTTGGGTTTTTATTTGTTGAAAGATAACGAATTTCTGAAAATTCCCTGAGCAGTTCTTATCACTTTCTCAAAGATACTCATTTACTTTCTTTGTATCCTCCTAAGAGTATTAGTGAATACCCAGCTGTGAATATCTGGCATGTAGAGATAGGTCTATAAACCCTGAGGATAATATCTGATGAACTACAAACATACAACAGGATTTCATCAAAAATATAAAAACACTCAAGTGCTCTTTTCTAAATAATCACAAAGACTCTAATTTCAGAAAACTACTTTCAAGACAGATGGATCTCCTGGGACTGCAGATTCTATTATCTGAGTAGTTTTACATAAACACATCATTTGCTTCAGCAAGTGATTGCACCTGCATGACTTTTAGAGCAGTAATAGTTTATTTTCAATTAAGACTAAATGAAAACTTCCTCTAAAAGAACTGAAAACTCAGAAATACATGGAGCACAAGAAGAACTTATTCTGTTCAGGATATCTCTAATGTCATGCTCGAGGATAAATAAAACCTAGATTTTATTTCTTTTTCCAAGGCTTTTGCTTCAGGCCTGAAGGCAGATATAGCATGTCAGAAGGAAGGGAACAATTAAGTTGTAATTTAAAAAATGTTTTGATAGCTAAGGAAGGAACCAGATTTTGTACATGGTAATTTTTACACTTCTGTTAGGAGAACAGAATGGTGGCTGCGACCTGATGTAGGACCAGAAATCCTGCTGCTGCAAATTATGGTATTTACTTGATGGAGTCGATCACTCTTGGCCCTGGTGAATGATCTGGCTCATAGTACTAGTGTTCTGCAAGCCAGGGGAGGTAGATAACTTTCTACCTGTGAGCGATGAAATGCATCAGTTACAGAGGAATGGGTTCTCACTGCCAATAACCTACTGCCAGCCAGCTCTTTCCCATCATAAAGCAAAGCGATGCTTGCTCTCTTCTGCCAGTTACCTGCTTTCAAGTGGCTGTGCAGGCAGTAGGCTAGAACTGAAGCACAGCAATAAGCACTGTCATTGCTAGCAGTAGGCCATAAGCATTGTACTGACTCTGCAAAACCTTGAAAATTTTGCTTGTCGGCTTATGTGAAGTTTTCTTGGCCTGCCTGCAACATTGTTTTCCTGCATGTAATCAAAATTGGCTTAGCTTGGATTTTCTGCAGGAGAAAAAAAGTTTTTTTTTTTCTGACTGATCAGTTGATGCTTTTGTTTATTTTTGTGTGGCACAGTCATGGTTTTACATAGGTAATGTTAACAACCTGCTATTCTAAATTGAGATATATATGACTGACATTACAACACCGAATAGAGAAAAACAGTTTTGGTTCGATAACAGAAGTCCTGAAATGTAGAGATGCAGGAGAAAAAGTGGTGTATAGGATGATGAGGGATGTCTGTGCATGGGAGGCAACAAGGCTATAAATTAATCACTAATGGTGATTTGTGAAGCCACAAAGTAACAAAAACAGTTTATGAGAATTGAAACATGCTACTATGGCAATATGTGGATTAATATGGAAATACAGCTTCTGCATGAGGGGAGCGGTGCTGAGCTCTGCTCTCTGATGAGAGTGACAGGACCTGAGGGAATGGGATAGAGCTGTGTCCCAGTACTACAGCGTATGTCCCATCTAACTGGATTATGCCAGTGAAGATTTGGATGCCAGATGGAATGTATAATTCCATGGAACAAGGATGTGTACTTGGTAGATGTGACTTGGTAGCAACAGTTGTCCCTTCTCAATTCTGATCAGGCAATCACAATTTGCAACTTGAAATAAATCTTTAATCAAAAGAAATTTCTTCTTTGCTGCACTTAAACTTAATCTTCCAAGTATCAAAAGGCTTGGATTAAATCCATGAAACTGAAGTGACTATGTCAATATCTTGGGGCAGTACATTTGTGTTAAGAGAGCATGAGTATGTGTTATTTTGTGACTTCTAACTCACAGAGCCTTAAAAACTTTCCACTTCTAATTATCTGTACCTCACTGACTTTGTACCTTAAATACCTTCCTAACAACTTCATTCTGCAGATGTTCTTGTTGCACACAAACTTATAGAGGCGCGTTATGAGTATCGCTTCTCATTTTTAATCAATTCGTGGTCTGGGAATGTTTTACCAGGTGCTAAACTTGTACCAGTACCACTGAAGGTCATCCATGTTGTGTCTGATTTTCTCTTCACATTTTTTAAAAATGACATGAAATAATAGTGGGTTTAAGAGGTTGCTCTATTGTTTCATGTACTTAGAATATGTATCTACAAATAAGCAAAAAACACTTTTCATCTGTTTAAAGCTGTGGGGTATCTTGATCCTTTCTTGAAGCACCAAGAAGTAAAATAGCAGCTACCAACATCACAGTGGCAGCTGCTGCTATGGCCTGCTGTTCTGACAGGAATGTTATTCCTTGCTAAAATTTAGTCTTTCTCAAATGTCCTTGACTGATGCTGCAAATTGCTACAAGTCAGTGAATTCATATGCTGTTCCAGGGAAACATTCCCTTTTTCCAAATTCACTGATTGTGTTATTATCTTAACGTTGGCTATTACGCTGCAGTCTGTTCTGAATTCTATTAACGTCTGTGGGACCCACTTAAATAGATCAGGTTGAAAATAATTTTAGTTGGTATGGCTAATATATACTTTAACAACTCCATTTTGTCTTTACAAACTCCATTCAGAGAATAACATTTTGTATAAAATTTAATGGTATGTCAGTTATCTTTCCATTAAAATAAAGCCTTATTAGATACTGAATAGTTTAAATTTCTTTCTTTTATATATATAATACATTCATATATATATGCATATGACTTCCATAATTATTATTTAGCACTGATATTGTGATTTAAAAAAAACTGGCGAACTTCTATTAATCTGAGTACTGTACAAACTAATACAGTTAAGTTTCCTGTTTCAAAGGCAAAGCTAGAGGTATAAAAGGCATAAGAGAACAAAGAAATGAAGGAAGAGAGTTTAGTGAAGTGTATTAATATCTTCCAAATTCAGGCATCATTAGTTCACTGGCTGAGTCAGTATTTACTGACTAGGCCCCCATTTCCCTCTTTGATGGGTGGAGAAGATAGGTTCCTGCCCTCTGGGTAAGCTCACCTTAACAGTTATGACCTGACTCTTGACAATATCTATTTTGACTGTATTGACTATAGAGATAAACCTGGGAGACTCACTGTCTACATTTACTGGGTACATCAGATGACCGAGGAGGGGAGTGTACATGCATACGTTTAAGAAAACAAATGTAATAGGAAGTACATAATAGCTGATGACAATGTACAAGCACAGGTGTCAGCTTGCTGTTACCAATTTACACCTTACAGTGTGCATTATCACGCTATTGAATTTTGAGGAGTGGCTCATATATATATATATATATATCTCAACCTGGGAACTCTTTCCAAGCAGAAGCAGCAGCATGAGACAAAACACAATTTGTCCAATAGAGAACAAGGGGACCAAGACAGCCACACTGCATTGACTACAAAAGACAAAATTACATTTGCTAGATAACAAACTGCTAAGAGAGGTGTTGCTAATTGTATGAAGGAAACAGTGAAAAATTGTGATAAGATGTAACCAATTGAAGGTGTAGGAAATAAAGTAATACATTGAAAATGTGTCTGTAGAGGCAATGTTTTGAATAGATGAATTGATGTAAGAGTTAAATCAAGATTACATCACCAAGAACTGTAGATGATCAGAACTTAATTCTGAATGGTGAAGAGGAGAGTTTTTAAAGATAGGCACAAATCAGAGGGAGACTTTAGGGGCAACCTGGGTGTGTTAAACCAAGCCAAAGGTGAAACCAGAATTGAGTACAGATTACAAAGAATGATGTCATTGTAGAGAAAGGGGAAGAAAGGAGGCTTACCATATGCCACTGCAGTTTCTGGTTTAACATTTATCATGGGTTATAAGAAACTGAACTCAGAGCCTTAATTTCCTTTGGAAGAAACAAGCTCAGATTAACTAAAAACTGAAGATTAAAAGCCTTGGAAATGGACAAAAAGGAGGGTGCTACAGCAGGCCCTGAGACATCTCCCTAAAAGGCAGAATGTGGTACAGTCCCTGTGGCTGCACATCTCACATGAACCAACCTGTGCTGACTGATTTGAACACGAAGCCATTCAGAGAAATTGAAGAGGGATTTTTTTTTTGTCCTTCAAAACAAAGTATTTTAAAGCTTTTCTAACTCATGACACCAGAAAGATTAAATTTGTCAGTAAGTGCTTCTCTGTGAAGTTTAGGGCATCAGGATAGTACAAGAAACAGCAGGAAAGTAAAGCTGGTGAGCAAAAGAAAAAAGAATATTGAGAAGCAAAAGTTAACTGTGATGAGCAAAGCCTTCAGCATTCTCCTTAAGCCATGATAACATAAAATGAATATGTGTGTGTGCAAGGGGAAGCTTTACATTGACATAAATATTTCCTTACTGCCCTTTAATTCGTATAGAAATTTAAAGCAGGCTTTTAAAATACTTATTTTATTAAGTGTCTCTGAGGAGTCTATATCTTCCTGTGTTTATTGCATGTAACTTACACAAAAATAATTAAAATTCAGTTCCTCAGGACTTTTCACTAGAAACTTTCAAATCATTTTGAAAACAAAAGTAAAACCTTATCCCAAATGATCTCTGTAATTACAATGATAATTTTACAGCAATACCACAACAAAAGTTAAAGAATCTTACATGTATAAATCTTAAACTTTTTCTGGACATGTACCTGTCAGGAAACAAAGGAACCAATCACCATTAACTCAGTCCCTATAGAATGTATCCTTCTTTAGTATTTAACAATTCATTTCTCTCCCGAATCTTGTGGTTTTCTAAGTATTGATAGACACTTGGATTTACGAATTACCTCTTCAGCTCTCTCTCCTACTTAGTGTAACCAAATGAATTCTCTTCCTAGCGTCACTTTAACGACTTACAATTCTTTATCAGTTAAGACAGTACTTCTCTGTAAAGCAAGAATTGTTTATAAATATACCTCATTAAAAGGTTGATGAATCAAATAGATTATTATTGATAAGTAAAATTAAATAGAAATCTGCATTTGCAGCAAAACTTGACATAAGCATAAGCAGCAGAATCCACTTATATGGACCAATGATTGTTAACACAAGTATCCCTGAAGTCATATTAACATGACATCCTGGCACTGGCATTTCTTTTTAAAAAAGGCTAAAAGCAGTATGATTTTTCATTTTAAATTAAAAACAAAAAACAAACAACAAAAAGACAAAGCTTACCTTATAAAAATTCCACAGTGAAAGAAATGAACTAGAAAGATCCAATCTAGCTTCCCAGGAGCAGTACCTTTCCAGTCGTTTTTAAACCATTGATAACTGAATACCTGAGTTATTAGTGACGAAAGGCCCCTAAAACAGAGTATCAGTATAGCCCAACAATATTGTCCTTCATAGAAATATTTACTAGCAACCCAGAAATCCACTCCAATATCAGCTATGTAAACCATAATTCCACCAACTAAAAAAATAAAATTCCATTTGGTAAATTTCATCATGCATTAGATTGTCACTGTGGTCATTCTGTCCTCATTTTAAGTGAGGGAAAGTCAGAATAAATCCAAATGCTTTCCTACAGCAGAGTCCTTTTTCCTGTTTGTAGTGCTTTATGCAGGCAAAAGTTGGTTACATGTTTTTATTATGGCAAGTTAAAACAAAAATACTTCCATTTTCCCATGTTCTCAATTGAAATATTAAGCTAACTTTTTTGATGCATGCCTACTCTGTAAAACATAAATCTAGATTGTCTTTGTGGTTGGTTCAGTCATTCTTCTTTACTGGTTCCTAAACAGAAGAAAAAGGAAGATCATCAGCAATGATAATTTTTTTTATTGAATCATAGCAATTCTTTTTTTTTTTTTTAAGTTATCACAGTTCACATACAAAGCAGAATTTACTGATATATCTGTAAACAATCAGTGTAAAAGAAGCTGCACCTCTGAACACCCCCTAGTCACTCATCCTCCCAACCACTGTGGTTCTACACCTTACTAAGCAGCTTCTGAGACAACTTTTAATTGTAGCAAAATACCAAGAAACAAGCTTACCTCTAATCACTTTTAAAGCCAGTTTATGGAAAAAAAGTGTGACTCCATTCCAGAACTTGAGCTTGCAAATGACTCACAGTGTGCAAGGCTGAGAGAGCTCCTGTCCTGAGTACACAGCAGTGTATCAGAGTAAACGTCACTATGCCATTTCCATCTGAGTGGCTGACTGTGTGTGCATGCACCTCATGGTTTCACCTTTTGTGCTCATTTGTCCCAATGCAGCAAGAAAGTGCTGAGCAGGCCTGTGCTTCTCCTATGGAGGAGACGTGGAAGGAGACAGACCTGCTCCTACACCTCACTGACAGATGTCTCACAGCCTGCATCAGTAGCAGCTATGTGTAGATGACCTAACCACACTATCTACCACAAATGGAATTTGTTCACAGTCCAAACTCTGTGTAGATTGCCTAACGTAGCAAGGATTCTTGTGATCTCTTTGATTAGTCCTTCTACAGATTGGTGATACTTGACAGGTGAGTCATAAAAGCTATAAAAAAAAAAAAGCTATATACATACATCCTTTGTCTCATTCGGTTCCACCTCTGCTAATCTGTAAATGTTAGAATTAGAGCATCCCCTTTTTGTTTGCACTTCCTCAGAAAAAATAAAGGCTTCTGGCAGCAATCCCAAGGAAGAAGAGGCAGGAGGTGCCAGAGCAGCAGGCTCGGTCCTTCCAAAACCCAAGGGCAACAGGCTGTGCCATGAGGGTAACTGCACCAGCCTCCTGCAGATTTTTGTGAGTTTAGGCTCACCATCCTGGAGGAATGAGCCCTGAAAAGAGAACCTAAGCTCCTAATTTCCTAAAGAGAACAGTGGGGACATACCAGCCTAAATAGGTGCTGGGTCTGGGTCTCTAAGCATTATTATTATTATTATTATTTAATCTAGGCCTTAGCTATTCCTTGCCTCTTGTCTGTTTCCTACTGAGGTTGCACATCCTGGCCCAGTAAAGGTCAGAAAGGTGATCTCATAGTTAGGACAGCTGGTATCCTTTCACCATCCTTTCCTATCCTCTCCAAAACATCACTAGTCTCCTTCAAATCACTAGTGGAACTACATCCAACTTACAGGCAGATTCAGGGAAGTGGACTTTAGTACAGTCTAGCATAAACTGAGCTTTACAGATGTTTCATAAGCTGAAAATTTATGTATGAATCAACTTAATAGCTTATAAGTAGGGTTCATTCAATAAAATTGAAAACAAAAACCCTGCATTTACTTTATAGAAGAGCATCATGTCAGTCTACAACTGGATGTACATCCTTTTTGTGACAAGAACATTATGCACAACTTTTGGAACAGATTTAAAAAAAAAAAAAGATGCACTATTTGTGTAGAAGACACAACAGTAAATGGCAAGGTAACGATTGGCTGCAAACAGAAATTTCCCTGTGCAGGTAGTTAATGGCCAAAGAAGGCAGTATAATAGGTTTCATATTTAATAAATAATACTGTATTCACCATTTCAGTGGTGAAGAATAGCCTCTAATTTTATGCCTGGAATGAATAATTAGGGTAATTGGACTTCTCCATCTTTACAGCCTTCCCAGGCTTCTGTGAGCACTCAACAAACTGGAGTTATCTTATTGTGTTATTAACCCTAATTAGAAAGGAAGTTTTACAGGCTACATCCAGATGCAGAAAAAAAAATCACAAAGGGTTGCTGGAAGCCAGGTGATTTCTACCACTGAAACGCATCCTGCCCAAGCAGCTGCCATACTGTCTGTCTGCAGTCCTGCCTGGTATGGAAAGCCATCAGGTAAGCTGAGATTTACAAAGACTTATAAAATCCACATCCCCCATAGTCCCACATCTTAATATCAAGACCAAGCATGAATGTCTGCTCACAGGTGAAATCTCTGTTGAAGATCTCAGCTCTTAACATCCCCCTATATTTTATCCACAAGAACACTCTTTGGAGAAACAGAACAGTGTTGTGCACCAGTCGGGGAACAATTAAATACTACTAGACAGAATGCGTTATATTACTCACAGTTATCTTGTCTTTAACAAATAAGAGCTAGCATGACAGGAACAAGCAGAGTATAGAGTCTGTCACCCAACAGAAATGTAAACCTACCTTGAAAGCTAACATAATTCAATAGAATTAGTTTATAATAAAGCAGAACCAACAAAATGTTATTAACTAGAGTTTCTGTTTTCATGATTCAAGTGCTATTATGAAATGCAGACTTACCATAACACTGGCCTCAATAAACACGCAACAGATTTTTCATGTAAAAAAAAGCTGGAGATCTGTGTATTTGCAGGTTTTCCATCCAGACTTCCTTGAGACTCATAACACAAGAAAAGTTTCAGGGCTTACTGACATAACACAAACTGAAACTAAAACCATATGCAAACCATGTGACATAGTTAATGATTTTTTACCTGTCAAGAACTGTTATTCTTATGAATGCATTATAAAAATTCCATTCTAAAGAGGCTATTTATAAATCTCTGTCTATGTTTAATATATTATAAAATTCCCTTCAATAAATGAATTTGACACTTTACTCCTTAACGGTCAAAATAAAAAAAAAAGAACAGAATCCCACTTTTCCTCTGTGTGTGTGTATGTACGTTCAAACTGAGAATATGGTTTGTCAGACCTGTTGAGCAAAAAGCCAATATATATTTATGAAAACATATGAATATATCTGTGTTTATATATTGTGGGGAAGTCTCTGGACTGCTAGAGACGCAACAGCACACCAATGTGGTTAAAAGCTGTTAGTCCACTTTATTGTTAAGCACTATTCTATTTATACATATTAACAAAACACTCTTCAACCATTCACACAGGCACTTATCCAGTCAGAGCCGTGTGATGTTCTTTCTTCTAAATGTTGGTTCTCATGCTGCTTATCTTACCACATAGCTGCTGCTCTGAACACTTTTTCTTGTATTCCCACAATTCCCCCTTTTTGGTTGTTTTTTTTTGTTTGTTTGTTCTGTTTATTCGCAAAACTACTACCATACTATAAAACAATAGCACTAAAATAATTATAACTCAATCAATGCCTTGATTGACAGTACTCCAAATGTGAGAAAGGAGACAAGGCAAACATAGCATCATGACAAGAAATACTGTTAACTGACTAAAAAGAACAAACGCATGTTTGGCCTGCAGCCCAACTTTCTGCAACCTGGAAATAAATCCCTGAGGGCCTCATTCTGTGTTAATCTCTAACTGCTTTGAAAGAGGTCTTCAACTTTTATATATTCTGATATATTGATTTTGAAAGATCACTAAGATTTGTACAACAGATGCTTTTAAAGTGCTCATGATCATGCTTTTGGGCTAATAGAAAATTAATAGTCGTACAACTTTTGCATGCCAGATAGAACTAGGGGCATTATTACTTACTGACCCTCAAGAAACAACAACCTGCAGAAAAAGAGAGAGGAAGTACATGGTGGTAGTGAATGTGACAGGCAGTGCCAGCTGTTCGTCCCCTGCTTCAAAGTGCACTTTTCCTCTCTCACCCACCACAGATTCTCTCTTGCTTTTATTCTTCTCTGGGTCCGAAGGGTATTTTCCATTTGTACACTGCATCTGCATGGCCAGTGTGCAATACAGAGCCCAAGTGGAACAGCTGCCTGTGAACATAATAACCTATCAGGGTTAGCTCTCTGAGCATGCACCTTTGTCTCAGGTGATGCATGGTCATATTTTAAAAATTCCTGATAAGTGGGATGAAAGTTAATCATTCTATATTACAGGGTCATCCCTTTGCCTGGGATTCCTTTCCAGGTTTTGTCTTTGCAAATCAAGAAAGATTAATTGATAGGCTGATAGTATCATGACCAAACATTACTAATATATTAAAATAGCTGTTCCCGTAGATTCCAGCACTGGTAACATTAAATCCTGTTTAATTCACATTCAATCTACTACTAAAATAAAGGAAGGACTCAACCGTATTAACAATACAGGAAAATCACCCCCTATATTATACCATTGCAATACAACAAGTTACAAGGCAATACCAAACAATAAGAAGCACACAATGCCAGTCATTATGAATCCACATAGGGCCAGTCGTTTCAAGTCTGGTATCAGTCTTTCTCATGGTCGTCTCACATCCTGGCGCCGTTCCTTTTGTGGGTTCCACAAGCCGTACGTGCTGCTTGCTCGCAATGTTCCAAAGAGGGGTAAACATGGCCGAGTTGTGTCAACCACTCCTCCACAATTTCCCCTTTTTCTTTGTGCACAAGCCAAGACAGCAGCAGACATTTTGCTGAGAAAGTGTTTTACAATTCCAATAGCTATACTAATAATTATAATACCTAAAACAATCATTAGAAGAACATGAAAGCCTTCCTTTACCAAACCTTGCAGCCATCCGGTAATACCCCATCCCTCTAGCCATTTCTCCAGCGGACTGACATCTCGCTGTATCTTATGTGCATGTCCTTTCAAATATGTGATGGCCTTGTGAATTGACTCACTATGGTCACTTAAATTGAAGCAGCACATACCATCAAAATCCTCACATCCATGTCCCTGCGCTAATAGCAAAAAGTCAATGGCATCTCTATTTTGCAGCAAGGCATGGCATAAGCTACTTTGATCCAATAATAATCACTCTAAAATACCAGTGGTTACATTAGCTTGTTTTTCTGCCCAGCTTGCTAAGCAAGCTATGTTTTTTTGCACATTCCCAGCAACAGCCCCCGGTATAAAGACAACTAAAGCCACCCGTGCAGCCATGGATAATAATTCCA